TAAAAGAGGTTCGTAAGCACAACATTGAAACAGCATCAGATGATATCACTAATATTTATTATTATCGAAAGGTAGCCTGTGAAGAAAGACTACCCCTCTCTGAGTGGGCCGTATTAAGCAATTATAATTACATATCAAATACAAATTTACTACATCATTATTTCCGTATATCTGTAAATAATTTTCAGCCTTTAGGAGATAATAAGCCGGATAAACAAATAGTATCTTCAGCTCTCATACACGATCGAACTCTTGTGCTCACCTGGGATATAGAAACATATAGTAGTTGTAAGATGGGTGATGTACCTATGGCAAAATATGAAGAGGATCGAGTTTTTATAATTTGTATGACTATACATTGGAGGAATAATCCAAAGCTATTAAAACAGATTTGTCTTGTCAATGTTGAAATGGCACCTGATTCAGATTGGGTTACAGTCATGTGTGAAAATCAAACAAACTTATTAAAAGCATTTGCTTTTTGTTGGAAAGCAATCATGCCAGATATACAAATCAGGTTTAATGATTTGCAGTATGACTGGCCTTTCATTATAGAAAAAGCTAAAATTTTAGGCATTCTTGAATGGATGTATAATCATATGTCACCAAAACTATCCAACATTGAAGAAATTATAAAATAAAAATATCAAAAAAGTGAAATAAAGACATCTGATGAGAAATTCTACTCAAAATACCTCAAAGTTCTAGGATGTATTCCAATTGATATCTGTGCTTGTTTCAAAAAGTTATATTCAAAATCAGAGGCAAGTTCACTAGAATATTATCTAAATATTTGTGGATTGGGTAGTAAGGCAGATATGCTTTATAATAAAATGTAGAAATATTATGAAGATACTATACTTCAAAACTCTGACAGCTCAGCCGAAAACATGCGTGAAATAGCCTATTATTGTATTATAGATGTATTGCAATACCAGAAGCTTATGGTTAAGCGTAATGTAGTTAATGATTATCAGGAGGTGTCATCTATTGCATATGTTTCTCTTTTTGATTCTCACTATTTCGCAGAAGGTATGAAAGTATGTAATCTTTTGGGAGCTAAAGCTTGGAGCAGTAATATGTTATGTAGTATGATTGCTTCAGAAAATACAAAATCTGGTAAGTACCTAGGAGCTTATGTTATTACACCGATAAAGGGTCTCAAAAACAAACATCCAGTAACAGGCTTAGATTTTGTCTTCTTATACCCAAGTCTTATAATGACTTATAACCTTTCACCAGATAAAATAATATTATCTCATGAAGAGGCGATAAATGTAATTTGCAGTGGAAAGAAGATCCACATGATTAAGTTTTTATTCAATGGTCAAACTATAGAAGCTTGGTCTATTCGCCACAATAATATACCTAAAGAAAAGGGTTTATATGCTAGAGTATTGGAGAATCTGTTTAATAAATGAAGAAAAAAGAAAGAATGTCTTAATGAATTAGATAAAGAAAGTTTTGAATATAGTTGCTTAGACTCAAAACAAAAGACAGTAAAATTATATGGTGTGCGGACAATAGAAATAGCCCATTTTTACAATTTTTTGAAAAATGAGTTTTTATTAGATTCATATAAATTTTAACATGATTAACATTTTTTAATTATAAATTAAAGTTGATTCGCATAATAAAAAATCAAGATAATATAAAAGAAAAATTGCACAAGGCTACATAGGGCCAACACATCACGATATTACCCAATAGTCTCCTGTTACCTTTAACCAATCAAAATCATAAAATTTGATTAATCACGGATTAGTCTGAAAATTAAAACAAATGATTAAACTCAGTTATCTTGAAATAAGATAAATGTAAAAATGGGCTGTTTCTATTGTCCGTACCCTATATATGAATATATTTTATAATAAGGCAGGTAATAATCTCTCTTCATTCTATCAACTGCAGTTAGCAGGTAGAGTTACTTCTGCTGGACAGCGTAATATTAAATTTGTTAAAAACTTTGTTGAAGACAAAGGGTTCAGCATTAAATATGGAGATACCGATTCTTTATATCTTACATGTCCAGAGGAGTGTTTCTAGGAATGTGATCGAAAATATAAATTAGATCAACTCTTACAAGAAGAGTACTGGGAGGAAATGATAAAAATATCTATAGAAGTGATAGCAAACCTCCATAATGAAGTAAATACTAAGCTTGAAAAAGACAATGGAATGCCTTACCTTAATATGGCATATGAGGAGGTCTTATTTTCTGTGGTATTTACAGGAAAAAAAAAATACTATGATCTAGAGCATAAAAATAAACCAAACTTTAATCCAGATAAGCTTTTTATTAGAGGGGTGAATATTGTGAAAAGATGTCAATCTAAGCTTTTCTGTAATGTAGGTAAGGAAATTATGAATAGAACTTTGAAAGTCAGTAATAAGGAGACAATACACCAGATTGTTGAAAAAATTTTTTGGGAAAATGTGGAAAAACTTTCCAAGTTAGATTATGATGAATTTATTCAAACATGTATATGGAGGCCTAAAAAGGAAGATAGGTGGGGAAATATTTCTGTAGAACAGTTTGTTTTGCGAATGGGGGCTAAGTATTTTTGTAAAGTATTGGAAAATCAACAGCTTATAAAGAAGAGTTTTCCTGCTAACAAATGTCTATATAAAGTTCCCAAACCTGGTGAATGATTTAGTTATATTGTAGTAGTACCTGAAGAGATTTATGATAACTGCAGGAAAAAAATATCACAACAAAAAGGAGACTGTATTGAATACCCAGATGTGGTAAAAAAGTTCAACAAGAAAATAAATATTGATTATTATATCGAAAGTCTATTTGGTCTCTGTGCCCGTTTTATAAATTATGATGATAAATATCAACCATCACCTAAATCCCTATCAAAAGTCATGGATTGCAAAAAGAAATTCAAGGAGAAGAAATTAAAAATTGCTAAGGATTTATTGCAGAGCAATGACTCTCCGAGTTTAGATAAAGATAAAATAGCAAAAATTAAAGATGAAGAGTCACAGAAGTCAGCTAAAAAATAGCTCAAAAATTATATTAAGAACTTATGTGATGCACTGAAAAAAGATGAAGCCTTATCTTCTATTTATAAAAAAATGCTACTACTCAAGCTGAAAAAATATGTTCTGGTATTAGTGAAGCTGGCATAACTAGATCTTCAGGTGTCTCTGCGGAGCATAATAATTACCTTAATATATTAAACAAAATTACAGACTCCACTTGTTCGAAATTATTGAATCTACTTTCAAAATTGTCTAAGCTTAATGTAGGATATAGAAATACAATGTATAATTTAATTATGCAGATGCAAAAACGCAAACCTAAAATTACAATTCTGAAACAATATATATTTCTATATGATTTGGAATCAGAGTATCGAGAATTAATAGATTTCAGGAATACATAGTATGAGGTGGTTGGCCTTGAAATTACCTGGCTTTAAGCATTATCAATTACATATGGTAGTAAAAAGATGACCCATCAGACATTGATGATATCATTGACCTATATTGTTAAGTATTCTTAGCTAAGATTGCTACAATCTACTAAGATATTAATAATATTTTTTCATACATAAATAATATCCAAGTTTAAATAGATGTTCATCTGATCTACATATCCCGCAATCGATCACTTTTTTTATGACCCTTTAGAGTCGCTCCTTCAGCCTGTAGAGCAATAGCTCTTCAAGCCTACCTATATTCCATGTATATCTCACAAACCACATAACCATGATAAGTAACAAAATAAGAAAAATATATGCTGATAGTGGTGATATTAAAGTGCTTGCCACAGCAGGAAGAGGCAAAGCCTCAGGACCAGGCCTTATCTGAGAATTCGATTCAATAAAAGCGGACATATTATCCTCACTAATTTTGCTAATGCTAGTTTCATTACTTACCTTGGAGTTGGCCTCGGTATCATTTTTTAATAGTTTAATAATCTAATCATTAGTATATGTCAATATATTACTATCAGTTTTTTCAGTTTGATCCATATTTTTTTCACGTATAAAATATTTACTAAGATTAGTACTACCCAAAGATATATTATCATACTTAGTAATATTTTTTTCATCATCCCCACCAACTATGGGTTTTGATATAGTCTCCGATTTTAGACACTCATGCTTATTGACTTTCGATAAGACATAGTCTCGAGGCTTTGCCTCTTCCAATTCACTCTTTATATTTTCTAATTTAGCTATTTTTGATTTGAGGGATGCGATCTCAGATTCTTTTTTCGATGAGTTATTTTGAATTGAAATTACATCTTTCTGAGCTGAAGACAACTTACTTTCTAATATCTTGATCATAGACTCGAGTGATTTGATTTTCTTAGATTTTGTACTATTCTCAGCTTTGGATTCAGCAATAAAAATATCCTTATGTGCATTATGAGAAATAAAATTAGTATTTTTATTTTGTAGTTGCTTATATTCATTAATGACATGCAAAGTGTAAGTGTGTAATTTTGGATCTCAGTATTATTTCATAATGAATCCAATTCCACCCCTTTCTTTCCTGATCAAAAGCCTTCATTTGTTTTATGTATTTATCCTGTAATTTTTCACTAAGCTTGTTAATTTTAGCTTTGAATTTGATAGCATTGTGTATTTTTTTTTCTAGCTCTTCTTCATGTATACTACCAAGTTGATGACCTTTAATATTCTGAAATGTATATACATTAGCTATATTAGCTTGCTTCACTAAATAATATATAATATAATTATTAATAAAACTAATTTCGTTAATAATTTCTATTATTATCTAATGATGTTTAATGTTAGATATCCTAATCTATTAAAAAAATATATTAGATATTATTGAATTAGGTTATATAATAATTATTTTTATAGTCCTTTTATTAGCCAAAGACTTGCTTATGCTAATATTTCTCATTCATCTATAATAATAGATATTATTTTTTATTGTTTCATAATAATAGATATCATTTTTTATTATTCTAAAATATTAAATATCATTCTAAATATTTGATAAAAAATCAAACCATGAACACGCCATTTCTAAAATCATATTATCGCCGAAAATCTACATATCTAACTTCTGAGCAGATAGAAACAATTAGATCGCTCAAAGATAAGGTTCCTAAATATAGAATTATGAGAGAATTCCATATTAATGAACATCGAGTAGATGATATATGGGAAGATCGAGAATGCTAGCAACAAATAATACAAAGTACCATTTCCACATTAGTCTCATTAACTTCATCTAAAAATTTTAACCAAATCAGAAGAGAGACTTTATATCCAGAATCTACTACTCCCCTCAATACAGAAATAAAAAAGAGAAGTTCCAAATCTCGGTCTAAATCTGTATTATGTAATAATGAGCTCTGCTCTCACATATCTGATTCAATACCTACTAATAACTCTACAGAAAAAATAAGTAGTGAGGATCTTTACAGGTTGACAAAAAAAACATAATTTATGCCCATTTATCTAGCCTTCTAACCAAGATACCCTATATACATACACCCAAACCTGTTCCCAAAATACGATTACTAACACAAAACTACAGAATAACACACAGATTCTCCCAAATCTTTACTAACCTGCAACAGAAAGTTTGGTTACTCTTCACACAAACAAACTTTGAACAAACTCAAGTGCACCTCTCCTATCAGTCCCAAACACAAAACTCCAACGCTAAACCCACTGCCTGTGCAATATTCACAAAACCCCCTCTCACATGGCACATATCCAATACTAATTGGCAATCACCAACTTACGCCGTACTAACAGCAATAGCACTTATCTTAACAATTAGCCCTCTCAAAACATGACTCACATTAAATACCAATATATCCTGGCTATCCGCACTAATACAAACACCAGCATACAACCCCTATCAGCATAGGAAAACTAACTATAACTGGCTCTTACGTATAATACACAGTATCACAACAGCAAAAGAATTAGTAATTACAACGCATTTCCTTGAAGGAAAACCTCCCAAGTCCCACACCCCTGCGGAAAATTTTCAATTCGAACTTGATCCCAGTCCGATCATCCAATCGTCATTCATTCCTAACGTGCTAAATATACCCAGTACATACTCATTACACTGGACTACCAAAACCATCCTGCGTGCGCAACTCTGTATTACATGGCTTCATCAAAATAGAATCTATCATATCAACCAACTCTGCCCAGACATCAATTGGAAACTCACCTTTGACCAAATTAACTACAATAACAAACCGCTACAAAGACAAACGAACCCCAAAACAACTAAGCTAAAAGCGTTCAAAATCAAATTAATAACCAATGAATTACCCACTCACCTTACTCTTTACAACAGAAACCCCGTAAAACACCCTAACCCATTTTGCCCCCAGTGTCCAAACAGCCTTGAAAACATTTTACACATACTTTCATGCCCAGCCAACCCGACATCACTCAAAGAAATCCTCTCAAATACAATAAACCAAATCTGTAATAAACATCAGGTTACAGCACCAAATACTAACTCTTTCATAGACAAATATATTAAATCTCACATAAGGCAGCAAATCTCACTCGGTATTATTCGAGATGATACGACCGGACCCTTTCGTACAGAAAAAAACAATACAAACCTAGCACCAGAGTTACACCACAAGATTATTCAGCAAATCCAAGAAAAGATTTGGAAACCTGGTAGACTAAAACCTCACACAACAACCCACTCAATCCAATACTTATATCTCAAGAACTAATCATTCACAATTACTCTCCTAATATGCACTTCTTCAAATGGTTACAACTTTATATACACTACAACCAATGCAACCCAAACAACATAGTCTAGAGGTCTTGACCCTTCTAGCTAAGAATGGGTCATGAGTAAATTCTAGAAATAGATAGCTCTAACCTCTCTTTCCCCTATATATATAAATATGTATTCTTACTATGTAATCCAATATTATTTATAATAAAGTGAATAGAGGAAAGACCTCTCTTAAAAAAAAAAAATAAAAAAAAAAAATAAATAAAAAAGAATTATTGTTTTTTTTTTTTTAATAACTTTAGCAGTCTTGCCTTCACTTTATTAGACTTTGTAATAATTCTCTAAACTATTAAAATTTTTCAAAGAGTTAAGCTCTTCAGTACCTAAATTACAAGTGGAGACTCACCCAGTTGCTCACTGAGTACCTATGTGCGACCTGCTATAGTAAGATTTGCCTCCATACTATCTTATCCTGCATTTGGCTTCAATAATACTTCAACTGCAGTCCTTGCTGCTTGTCAAGACTACATGTTAACTTTCTACCACTCTGAACATTGACTACTTTCAATCCAACTTAGTATTTCCTTCTTTGAGATTTCTAATACCGATTCTCACCTCATGTCCTCTTCTTTCTTCTTACTCTTTCTTTCATTAGTTTTTTTTGAAGGATCCACTTTGGGGCTTCATTTTTTTTCCCTTTCTTCTTCTTGTTTCTTTTCTTGAAATTTTCGTAAGACCCTTTCTTTTCTCTTGGACCAATGCTATTTTTTTTTTCACATTCTTGTACCAACTTGCATCTTGGGATCCATATTTTTTTATGTATTTTTTTTATCCAATTATTCAAAAGTCTTACTATGAAGCTCTTTGTCTGATTGTTGAAGTTAAAATAGAACCTCAACTCCTTAAAGTCTTCTATTGTAACTAGACCTCTAATTCATCTTTCTCTTCTTTGAATCTCTTCAGATTTACTTCCTTTTCCTAACATTGCTAGTATATGTTCTTTCTTTTCCTCCAACCTTTCTGTATCTTTAATTTCTATAAGAGTCATCTCTACTTCTTGCTCTTCTATACTGTGAAACAGGTTTACTGATATCTCACAACTCACTAGGTGTTCTACAGTTTCTTTTCTTTTTTACATAATATATATTTATCTGTTTGGTATACTTTTGGTCTTCTTTGATTAAGCTTTTCAAGTACCAGAAGTATGTTATTTATGCATTTAATTTCAAAGAGCTGTATCATATTTGTCTTGAGTGTATAGTTTCGTTGTTTGGTTCTGTCGCTTAGTAGCTTGTAAAAAATCAGCCATATTTTGTATAACCTTTCTCTCTTGGTGTGTTGTATTGTGTGTATTGTATAGAAAGGTCCATTCGACTCTGTTCATTACTTTTTCAAGCATCTTAACAAAAGAGCAAATAGGTTTTTCTACTATTTCTCCTTCCCATATAAATCTTAACTTATACTCTTTTGCACTTAGTGTTTCTGGAATTAGATACTTTGTAGAATCAGCTCCTTTTTTGGCTTCTATATCTGCTAGATCATTCAATATATCACCCGAATGTCTCTTGACTTTTGTAAGACAAATATTTATCTTCTTTGTCTTTATTATCTCTGCTATAGTTGTAACAAGGCCTCTATTTTTAGTTTTTAGCTATTGCCTAACTCTACTATTTTCTAGGCCCCTCTTGATTACTAAAATTGCTACTTTACTATCTGTTCTTATCTCAGCCCTTCTTTCGCTAGATATTGTTAGTAACACAAGTAGAATTGCTATAATTTCAGCTCTTGTTGAGAAAAACTACTTCTTAGTCACACAGGTTAGATTTTGCATAACGTGCTTTTCTTCTGATATATGAACTACTCCACATCCCATCTTTAACTCTCTATCGCTCTCTAAGGTACCGAGTGAGCCATCTGTGTAGAAACATAAAATACCTAGATTTCTATTTTGTTCTATCATTTCTATTATTTTTCCTTTAATTCTATTATTTTTAACTAATCTATTTACTAGTACTATTTCCCACTTTTTACAGCTTATAACTATTCCCTCTTTCTCTTTTAATTTCTTTAACTCTTTTGTTTTAACTATTGATTTTTTATTTTTTTTTTCTAGTGATTTTTCTATATATTGCTTTTCAAAGATCATTCTTGAACTATTCTTTGTTTTTTGAACTAGCTTCGATATATCTTTCAGTTTTCTATATTTGATTGTATATGTGCCTTTGTTTTCATTATATATTAGAATTTGTTGTTCAGAGTTTTCTTGCTACTTTGTTATTTTTTTATAGTTCTCTACTTCTATATATATGTTTTTTTTTTCTTTTACTCTCCTAATATTGAAATCTTCTTCTATATTATTTTTCCACATCACCTATTCTTTTGTTCTTTGATCATTGCTTAGATTTGCAGTTGTAATGGTGATTGCATTAGGGTTATTTGTTGCAAGCTTGTATTCATTTTTAACTTCTCTTGATACTGGATTTTCTATCATCTTTTTTTTTAGTTCACTGAACCATTTTGCTTTTCTTCTTTTATGTACAGTATCATATACCATTTGATTTGTCTCCAGGTATATATTGATTTACTATCTTTTGCTATAAGCTGCAATATTAGTAGTAGACCTAGTTTACTTGTATTTGTTTCTTCATATGCTATTTTTACTCTTTTAAAAACTTTTGCAATTTTAGCATCATTTGCTATTCGTTTTATATTTAAATTTCAGCTTCTTGATATCTTGTTTTTTCTATTACAAACCCAAGTGCTTTGGCTTGCTGCAATATATCTAACCCCAAAATTACATCCTCTTATTTTTTTCTTTTCTAGAGCTATTTAGTTTGTTAAGATGCACTTAGTTGCACCTATTTTAGGCTGCCCCTGTTTTAACCTTCTTACTGTCAAGGTCTCCAACATACTAGATGTGTTTAGTCTAACAGTAGCTCTAAAATATGGTGTTCTATATATCTGTTCCAAAGGCTTTTAAGATTTGTTATCTCCAGATGTTTTGTTATTATGTTTGCTATCATAGAGGGCAGCGACATCTTCTATTTTGTCAGACGTAGCATTGGTTGTTGGATTCTTTCACATTGTGCTTTAGTCAAACAGGATACCATGAGTCGTTATTCTAGTATAGGTACTAGAACCACATTGTTTATATATATAATTTGGTTTAAAAACATTTTTTTGTATTTAAGTAAGCCTGTAATCTTGCCCACTTCACTTCTTGCCTTGCTTATATCTGACTTTTTCTGATTTTTAATTGATATCCAAATATCCAAGAATCTTCTAGCTTCTTTATAGCTTTTTGCCTACACTTCTGTACCTTGCTTGTCTACTCGAATTGATAAGTCTTTAGTGTTTTTCTTCTTACCAGATTTCAGCACTACTAATTCTGTTTTATCTGGATTTATCTCAATATCATTTAGCTCATAGAACTCATCTGATATATCAATTGTTTTTTGCATATTTTCTTGATTACTCGTAAGCCAGGTTGTATCATCTGCATATGCTAGTACTTCCACTTTGATTTTTGATATGGTATTACTTTTCTCTTCATTATTTGTATAGAGGCTTTGCATTTCTAACCAAGATCAGCCTCTTGCACCTTGCATAGTAACGGGTCATAAAAGATTCTCCATATCAAAGGGGAGAGTACCTCTCCTTGGTCTATGCCATCTCCT